GGGGGCTCACGTGCGTGGGGGCGTGAAGGGCGGCGAGCCCCATGGGGGCGCGTGGGAGGGAGAGAGAGAGAGGAGGGGGGCGGAGCTGGCGCCGATGGCGAGAGCGGGCCGGGCCGGACTGTGCGTCGAGACCTGTACCACCACACACTACTGCTTTAACGTACTCGCGAGGGACCGGGCGGTGCGGCAGTGAAATGAAAATCTGCTCGGCTTTTACACGTAGCGTTATAAATTGGCGTGACTGTGAACGCCGTGGGCGCGGCGCGGCAAAGGGCCGCGGCCGCGAGTATTGACAGCCTCCCCCAGCCCCCTGGTCACCGTCGCGCTCCGCGGCCGAGTCGATGCTCGGTGATTTAGAGTGAGCTGATTACTTGAGAAAAGAGAGGAGGGGGGGGGGGTTTCCAGAGGGTATGACACTACTGGAGGCGCCGGTCACTTGAGGGTGCAGCACGTCCGGCCAAAGCTGCGGCTTTTGCACACCCTCCCCTACGGCCGCTCAGGAAACGGGTGACGGTTCATCGTCGACCTCACCACTCTCCGTGTCCGAGTGTGCCTCGTCTCGTGACACTGGCTCACCTTCACCTGTACCTTCATCATGTCCGACTGGTTGTGCAGCCCAATGGGGATGCGGATGGGCTCCGCGCCGCAGCCGCAGCAGCCGGTGGTGTTGGACGGCGCCATGCCGTCGCACAGGCTCGTCACACACTGCTCGACCGACTCGTCTTCGTCACAGACACTTGTCACGCCACGTCACGCACGCACGCACGTATACGCACGCGCTCGCGGGTCAACCCCCGGGGGGGAGCCTACACGCTGAAGGACCCTTTGCTCAGCAGCCCGCAGGGGAGCGACTCGACGCGTCGGAGGGAGGATCAGCACTAGGCACTCGCCGCGCCACGGCACGCGTCCTGCCCCGCCCCGCCCCGCCCCGTGACGAGTCGAGCGGCGCCGGCTCGGCACGTCCCCGCAGTCGGGTAGCTTACCGGCGGGGCGGCCAGGGGCGGCCGGGCGCAGGGCTGCTAGCCAGGAGCAAACACCAGCTGCTCACCAGGAGTGTGTGTTTTGGTAATGAGCTACCGCCACCATACCGACACTCAATTATATGCGGAGCGTGTGTCCGCACAAACACACGCGTATGACAAGGAATGCTTTCTTCCCTTTTGTTAACCTTGCTGAACACAGGAATCTCTCGGCAAGCTTGGCGAACTTATTTTCCTCGCCCCTCCTCACTGCTCCTCCTCTTCCTCACGCCATCTCCTCCGCAACGATTGACTTCCTTGTGGTGTTGATTGACCGAGATGTTTCGGGGTCTGCTCTGCGGCGCCAAACAGCACCGTGCAGCGGGGGCCGGGGGGAGCGGAGGGTGGGTGGAGGGGTGGGAGTCGCCCCGCGGGCGCGAGCCACGTGCAGCAGAATGGACCCTGACAGCAGGTGCTGGAAGGCACTTGTGCAGCTGCACGCGGCACTGGAGGCGCACACGGGCAGCATCTGCAGGGACGCCGGCGTGATGGACACACTCCCTGGCGGGGCCGACGAGGGCGGCGGCCGGCGGCAGTAGTTCCCGCGCCAGCCAAACCCTTTCCACACAAATCATCTTTATTGTCTCCGCACGCCCCACTCGCTCCGCACCACCGCCTCGCCCAAACCGTCGTCACCAAAGTAGTATGATGTCACTTGCTGTAACAACAAGCCCCTCCCCACCCCCACCCCTCCATCGCCCGCCGGCCATGTGACCGACAAGCGAGCCGTGCAGCTCCTGCAACTGCAGCTAAACATAGCCCGGCCCATCTCCCACCTTCCCAATGTCCCCCGCCCCACCTCACTGCCTCACACGTGACTACCTCCACCCCGCCCCACCCTCACCCCTTCCTTCCCCGTCCTCCTGCCCCTTCATGTTTGGTTTGTGATGAGACACGTGCGCCGCGCCGCGTGGCCCGTAGCTCCAGCAGGGGCGGGACAGGCGCAGGGTAAGCAGACCCGCCGGACACCCTACCGGGGCGGGCCGCCTACCCGCCCGCAGTCAGGCGCTCGGTGGGGCAGGCGAAGCGTAGGCCACCCGCCCCGGAGGCGTGTCCAGCGGGTCTGCCTACCCGTCCGAGGTCAGGCGCTCGGGCGACGCAGGCGCAGGGTCGGCAGCCCGCCCCGGAGGCGTGCTCGGCGGGTCTGCCTACCCGCCCGAGGTCAGGCGCTCGGGATCGGGACGGGCTGGGGTGGTTGCCGACGACAACAGCAGCAGCAGCAGCAGCAACAGCCACACTGCGACATTTCGTTAGCGTCTCGTCCCCGATCGTCCCGCGCAGTTGTCTCGTTTACTCGTTGCGAAGGTCTATTCTGGGAGCAGGACTGCGCCGCCAGACCCGCCCTGACCCGGCGCGACCCGGCAGGAGTCGCCCTTAGCTCCACACTACCGCTCCCCATGTCCCTCGATGCATTGCACCAGGCCCCATTAGCTTGATTGCATTTTATCACGAGACACATTCTCGGTACAGTGCGGTGTGTGGGTTGGCCTGACCTTTGGGCGGAGCAGCAGCAGCAGCAGCAGCAGCAGCAGCAACAGTGGGAGCTGATGCGCACTTCCCTCCCGACCAGGCAGGGACGCTCATCTCAAAGGGGTGGGGCGAGGCGGGGCTGGCGGGGCCGCGCAAGTTGGGTCCGGGCGGGGGCTGGCGGCATGCATTGGGCCCTACATCGAGTGGCGGGGGGGCCGGACCGGGAGCCCCTTCCTCCCCTAAAAGCCTCTCATATCCTCTCTTCCCTCTTTCCCTATCCCTGCTTCCCTGCCCCCCTCTCGCCCCTCTCCAACTCCAATCGATATCTTGCTTATCTTGGACACCCCCGCGAGGCCGCAGTGGCCCGGTGCCGGGGGAAGGGAATGGGAGGTACCATTTTATTAAGAGACGCCAAAGGGGCGGATGTGGGCGTCTGTCACCGCGCGGTGGCCACTCGACTTCCCGATCCACACCTTCGAGAGCGCAAACAGGGAAGTTGATGTTGCACCCGCGCGCATACGGCAGAAGGTCAGAGAGGCGCGCCCGGCTCGCGCGTGAAACCTAAAGAGTACTCAGAAACCGGTGGATCACGCAACTATTCGAACTCGTGTTGCTACTCTCAAAGAGGCTGGCGGCAGCTCATTCCCGCGGTTCCTTCCAGCGCGAACTTCGTCACAAAGACACGGCGCTGGACCTATAGACCTGATAGTTTGTCAAGTTCGACTCACCGGCAGCGTGGTGCTCTGGTCAACCAGGTCCACGAGCGGCGCCCGGGGCGTCGGCCTGCTGGCGAGGTAGTAGGCGGAGGCGGCGGCCGCGCCCGTCAGGGCCAGGGCCCCGGCGGGGCCACCGATGTAGTCCAGGTACTGCTCCATCTCGTCGACTGCAAAATAACACAGAACACGGAGTTGGTAGGGTATCGGCGTGCGGCTGCACAACAGGGAACGCGGCGGGCCGACGGGGACGTGCAGTGGACGACACGGCGCGGACATCGTCCTTACCGGGGGTACACCGCCATGATGTGGCCGCCGGTGCCCCAGGACGGGGGAAGGAAAGACGGGAAAGCAGCGGCGAATAAAAAACACAACAATACACTCGTCTTCCTTTGCAAACACAAAAAAACAAACAAACAGCGCGACGACAATCACCGCAGGTGTGGATGGAATGCCGCTCGCCCCGTGTCGTCCGCAAGCCCTCCGCGATGAATCCCCCCTCCCCCC